TTAGATGGCATATGCAGAAGTCCATTTCTCTTCACAGTGCAGTCATTGGTTGGGTATATAGAGTAATATACTCTTATATTCTGGTCCCAAGCTCTATAGGCTTTGTACACCAGCACCTTGAACAAAGTCTGGTAGCTAATTGGCAGTGGGTGTAATTCTTTCAGCAACAGCATAACACGATGGTGATAGTCTGCCTCAGTGAGCAGTTGAGCCACTGCATTTTGCACTATCTGCAGTTTCTGAACCAACTTCATGGGCAGCGTCACATGGAACCTCTTGCAGTGGTTCAACCTGGAGGCTACCAGTGCATAAGCAACCATTTTCAGGCTGTCCTGGTTCAGAAATGGCTGTAGCTGTATTGCCAACCAAAGCTGGTAAAAAAGCACTCCTAGCCATGAAGGTCACCCCAGCTTCTATTTATTTATTTAAAACCATATGCACCACTTTTCACCACATGTCTCAAAGCAGCTTACAGAAATAAAAACACCCAAGATACAATAAGTACAGTCATACCTCGGGTTGAAGTAGCTTCGGGATGAATATTTTCGGGTTGCGCTCCCCGGCAACCCGGAAGTAACGGAGTGCGTTACTTCCGGGTTTTGCCACTTGCACATGCGCAGACACTCAAAATGACAGCATGCACGGAAGCGGCGAATTGCCATGTGCGGACGCAGGTTGTGTTTGCTTCAGGGCTCCAGAACGGATCCCATTCGCATCCAGAGGTACCACTGTAGAGGGGAGAACATTAGAACAACATTCATGGTGTGAAGGTCTCCTGGTTTAACCTGACACCTGAAACTTAGCAAGGACAGTGCCTGCCTAATTTCTAATGGTAGGGAGTTGTAAGTCTGTTACAATGGAGGCATGACTTCTTGTTAACATGAGTTGTGCTTCTGGTCCAGTTCCCCGGATGATCTCACTGATCAACCTGGGACATATGGGGTAAAGCAGTCAGTAAGGTATCCTGAGCCCAGGTTGTTCAGGACTTTGTACATGGTAGTCCTTTGTCATGTATTGGTGGTAGTCTCTTTCTATCACCAGTCTAGCCAGAACATTCCACAATAGTTGAAGCTTCTGGATGAAACACAAAGGCATAGTCTTGAGGTTATCAATACACATGGAATTTGGTAGCCAGGTCATCCCTAATCAGGAACTGCCACACTTGGTGGGCATACATAAAAAGAACTCCCAGTCACTGAGGCCACCAAGTTAGTTCCAGGAGTACCCCCAAACTATGTACCTGCTCCTTCAGGAGGAGTGGAGCCCTATCCATAGTGGGCAACTGCCCTCTCTCTTGTATCTGGGAACCAGCCTCTAGTGTCAGAGTTGGATCCAGGAGCACACCCAGTCTACAAACCTGCTCCATTACGGCAGTACAACCCAATAGAAAGGCAACTGTCCCATTATTGAGACTTGGGAACCACTTACCCGCAGCGCCTCCATCTTGCAATGATTCAGACTCGTTTTTTTGGCCTTCACCGAGTCCACACTCTGGTCCAGGGCATGCACAGTCTCTCCTGATTCAGATGGGGTGTGAGCCTCTAGGCCAGGAAAGTTTCAAGAGTCTTGGCACTGTGTAGGAATCTAGGCCGCCAAATCCTCTGGGACATCTATTGAGACGCCCCATCCTATCTGCCAGTCAACACGGGATAGGATCTTTATAATGAGCCTTTAGCTACTGTCGCTACCCTTTGTCATGTGCACTGGGGACCCAATTATGTGCACCAAGGGTGGAGAGCTCTTATTCCTCTGCAAGAACTGTGTCAACATCTGTTAAAGCTGGGCGGGCTCTCTGCCACAAGCCTACTTTGAACAGACTGTATATTATCAGTACATGTGGGAACATAAATGAGCTGTGTGGAAGTCTGTTGCCATGGGAACCTTCCTCTTTGGGACTGCCTTGATCTACTTGATATGACTGGAGCCGACTTCCTGGCCTCTACAAGAGGGAATGCGGAGTCCCGGGTTCTGTTGACAGTTTGACTGTGGACCTTTTTTCGCACCTGTTGGCAAAGCCCCTTTAACATTGTTCTTCCGTACTTGTGGCAGCTTTTTGACTCAGGGTTATGAGCATGTTGGGCTGATTCATTATCTGATAATTAATGAGCCTGCAGTGCTTAGGGTCATTATCTTGCAGGGTCAGAGCATGAACATTTGGCAGCAAGCTCGTTTAAAATGGAGGTGCAGAGAGTGCTCTGAGGTGCTAGCCTTCTTAGAGCCATCGCCCTGGGCAATTCAGGAAATCAGCCCTAATTTGGTAGTGATGGAAACTGGAATATTAAGATTACCTTCTTAGAGGCCTATGAATAAATGGAAGGAAGTGTAGAATAGAGCTCCCCTCCCCTCCCCAGGTTATGACTTTTGCTTTGTGATGTTTAGCTTATTTTTTTAGTTGATGATTTAAGTGTTTTATGAATTGTAATTGTTTTCCTGATGGTTTGTTAAATATTCTATGTTGTTTATGGTGTATTTGTGATGTATCATGTTATTGTTATTTATTGTTCGTAAGCCACTTTGGGATTCATTTGAATGAAAAGGGGCATAGAAATATAATAAATCACATCAAATCAGTGCACTGAGCTCTTACAGTGGGCATTTAGGCTTACCTATGCAGAGGATGACCGTGCCTTCTGCCATCTTATAGTGCCTTATGCTACCTTACCTGACTGGTACACCAACGATGACTATACTTGGACAGAGATAGCCTGGCTTCAGTGATCCTGGCGTGTCTTGGTAACCTAATTCGGTCACTGTGAGGTGTTGCATGTTGGACTGCCTTTGATGATGGTCCAGAAACTACAGATAGTATAGAATACAGCTGCAAGAGTACTATTTGTTATACGGGACCACCTCTCCCGGTATGCCCCACAGAGGACCTTAAGGTCCACATATAGCAACACCCTAGAGGTCCCGGGCCCTAAGGAAGTTAGATTAGCTTCAACAAGAGCCAGGTCCTTCTCAGCACTGGCTCCGGGGCCTGGTGGAACGCTCTGTCTCATGAGACCAGGGCCCTGCGGGATCTGATTTCTTTCCGCAGGACAGAGTTGTTCCACTTGGCCTTTGGCTTAGAATCAGTTTGATTCCCTCCCCCTCTTTCTTTTTCCTTTCTCCTCCTATGAAGAGACTGCATCCTAATGTTTTAATGTTGTATCTTAATCTTTTAAATTGTATTTCAATCAACTTGTTTTTATTATTGGTTGTTAGCTGCCCTGAGCCCGGTCTTGGCTGGGGAGGGCGGGGTATAAATAAAAAATTATTATTATTATTATTATTATTATTATTATTATTATTATTATTATTTGGGGCTGGGTACTATGAGCCTATTATGCCAACTACACTGGTGCCCAGCGTGTTGCCAGGCCCAAATCAGAGTGCTGATTCTGACCTTCCAAGTCCTTCATAGTTTGGGGTTGCAGTATCTGAAAAACCGCTTTCCCTCCTTATGTACCTATATACTCCAAGATCAACAATGGGGATCCTTCTCTGAGTGCCACTACAGCTGAGATACAACAGGTGGCTACGAAAAATAACTGGGCTGCTCAGTAGTGGCTTGCCAGAGAGGTTCTCTCTGCTGCCTAGCTAGACATCTTTTCGTCCCCAGGCAAAACCCTTTCCTATTCTCACAGGTTTTTAAAATCTGTCGCTTTTAATTTCTTTATCTACTCTCTCCCCCCCCCTTTTGTGTGTGTGCTTGTTTTCTTTTCTGGAATTTGTTTTCCTATCTGGAATGTTGCTGCCTCTTTTAATGCTGTTTCTGCATTGCATTTATTTTTTGTGATTTTTTTTCTTGTTTTAATATTTCTTTGCCCATAACCCAAAGAATAACTAAAGCAAGCAAGCAAGCAAGCAAGCAAGCAGGCAAATAAATAAATAAATGGATACTATTTTAAACAGTAAATGGGAAGATATAATAATCCCTGGGTGTAGGAAACTATTTTATCAGGACTAGTCTAGCCTATTGCTTGCTGTGCTGGTTTCTGCTCAGGGAGTTTTTGTTGGACTTCCGGGAGCATTCGGAAATATGGCTCTCTACCTGCTGTCAGAAGTTCACCTTTATTTTGCTTCATGTGTAAACCAGACCTTGATCTGTGGCATTGGGAGACCATTCATTTGCAAACAGTTAACAACGGGCTTTCAGGCTCCCTCCTAGTAATGCCGAGTATTCAAAGCCTTCACACCTGCTCAGGAAATGATGCTGTCCTGCCCATCTTGCCTCCCAAATATCTTTTCCGGTTTCCTCCAATTCAGCTGTTTGTGCTTCCAGCTCATCTCTGAGCATGTTTCCAATTTAGCTCCCTGAAACGCTGCCTCATCAGAATAAATCTGTGCCAAGATACTTACTTCAGTTGTTGCCCAGAGAAATCACCAAACAGTTTAAGACATGAGTCCTGCCTTTAGTTAAAGGGGACACAGTGGATTGTTATTCCTTATATTATTGCCCCCACGAGGAGGCAAAAATAGCAAGTCATATATGCTTGTTCAGCTGTGCCAGTGTATATCTGGAGCTAGGTCTGGAGACAAGTATATAGAAACTGGGTGACATTTCTGAATTTTAGGAGTCTTGAGATTTATCCTACTCCGAGAGTGCCCACTCATACATCACCAAGAAAGAGTAAACCCATTACCAAAAAGAGGTCAAAAACCCATTCAAACCTGTAGTAAATCTGCATGTGCTAATTCACATGTATAGATGCAGATTTAGAAAGAACTGATATTTTAGGTAAAAGTACAATACATCTCATCCATAGTAGGAAAGATTGACCAGGTGACCTGTGTGCCTCTCAGTCCACTGTTGAGGGGCAACTTCAAAGACAGCCCCCCCTCCTCTTGGTTCTTTAAACTAGATTATGACCAGACAGCCCAAATAGAGAACTGTCCTCTCCATAGGGGTGCCCAAACTTTTTTCAAAGAGGGCCAGATTTGATGAAGTGAACATGCGTGAGGGCCAACCAAAGTTGTTGAACTTTTTTTAGGATTGAAGTTGTTGAGCGGGCCGGATTAGGCCCCTGAAACGGACTTTGGACATGCCTGCCATAGTAGGACACATGGCCACCCTATCTGCTGGCAAGCATTAGGTTGTGGCAATGAAGACAGAGAAAGTGTTGTGAATCCATGGTTCCATGGCAATGCTGAATCTTTACCTTCCTGCGTACATGGTCATGCTGTGTGAGTGCTGAACTGTGAGGCCGGGCTAGCATATTCTTGAAGTGCCATCAGTGGCCACATCATAGCAAGAGCACACCTCAGTGAGGGAGAGGTGTCGGTGGTTTCACACACAGCAAGAGGGCTGGCACTCAGGACAGTGGTGAAGCTGATATGTCAGCATCTGGTATGTGCCTTCCTTCCTTTCTCACCTGTTAACCAACTGAACATCAGACTGTACACTTAACTAGCCTAGAGCTAAAATAAAGGTCCTGTTTGGTGTGAGAGGAAATTGCAGTTGCATCATCACTATCACTCTTACAGTATGACAGACCAAGGCTGAATCCTGGTAGGAAGCTCCTTTCCTCATTGTGGTTCCATCAAATGTCATGCCAGACTCATGTCCTGTTCTGACTGGCCAGTTAAGCCGCAAAAATATGCTACCAGCAAAGTCTTATTATATAGGATTCTGACTGCAGTTGACCAAGTGGGCCAGGGGAGGCTATCAGTGATCATCACTGGAGCAGGATGTTCCTAGGGACAGTAGAGGCTGCCACCAGCATATAATGTATAGAGCAGTGGTGGGAAACTTGGCACCCTCCATATGTTGTTGGACTCTTGCTCCCATCGGCCGCAGCCAGCATGGTCCATGGTGAGGGATAATGGGAGTTGTATTCCAACTGCATTGGCCGGAGATGGTGGGGAAGCACAGGTTCTCCAGCCCAATATAGGCTTGCCAAGAGTTCTTTTATTGGCGGCTAAAATAATGAAATGATTTGCAGTAGCCTTGGTGAGAGAATAACTGGTAGCTACGCAAGTATTGTCAGTTTTGGAGCTCCTCCTTTGCCATCCAGCGTGTTTATTTTCGTTTTCCACCCTACTGCCTGAGGCAGGGGGAGGAGCTAGATATGGGAGTCAGCTTGTCATGAGAGAATAACAACTTAGGCTTCTGTGAGGAGCAGGTCTGGGTGGATACTGCCTCCTTGTTGGGAGTTGCTTCTTCCTGCTGAAGCATCTCCCGCATTTGGACTCTGCTCTGGCTGGGTGAGTAAATGGGTCAGTAAAAGGGATACAGGAGACGGGGCCCATAGTTAGTTGTAGGGCAGGGTTGGGGACCTTGCAGCCCTCCAGATGTTGTTCGGCATTTATGCCCATCAGCCTCAACTAGCAAGGCCAATGGTCAGGATTGATGGGAGTTGTAGGCCAGCAACAGCTTCTGGACTCCCTACCCCTCCCGTAATATCAGTGGCTTCTATTGGTGTGCTTGAGTACCAGAGCTTAAGAGAGGACTTGTTTCCTAACATGGTGTCACTAGGAACTGGTGTGAGGACCTTTCGCTGACAGGAATGGATTGGGATAGATTTTTAGCCTGCTGTCCCCACAGGCTGGTGGGAACAAACATATCAATAACTTGTGTGCCTGTGTGACTTCTTTTGGCAGTGCTGGCATTCCACTTGTCGTTAAATCTCCATGGCAACAGCACAGGCTTCTCATGTGACCTGTGACCCTGGCAATTGTCTTTTTGATCCTTACTCTCTGGATTCTGAGCCTGACAACGGCAGCATGGGCAGCGTGGGCAGCCTAGTAGAGAAACAGGATTTCTTGCCAACTGCTCCGGGAGGTCTGCGCGGCATGCGTCAGCCAGACGGGCTGCTCCGGAAAGGAATGTCACAGCGTGAAGTTTTTGGCTACTTGCATGGGGGCAAGCGGGACACCCGGGCTGAGAAGAAGCACCAGTCATCTGGAGGTGGCTTTAAACGGGACTATGAGAGTGACCGGGAAAACCAGTCCCCCGAGCGGTATTTCCGGGACAATCAACGAGCAGCTGATTTCTCCAAGAGCTCCTTGCCTGAACGTGGACGCTTTGACAAGGTGAGCAAGCTGGGGGTGTGGTTTTAGGAAGGAAGAGAGAGTTTCTTGGCAGAGACTGATTGGAAGGGGAATGGGGTGGGGCTTCTTGGCATAAATCCAATGCATTTTCCCACCAGTAGTCCTACAGTATTTCTGATCGTGTTGAAACAGAAAGCCTTTAGCTGTACATAGGGTCCAGCAGTGTGTGGATATTGGATTAATGGGGTGTTCTGGAGGTCAGGAACTTGCAGTCCTCCAGGTGTTGTTGGACTCTAACTCCCATTAGCCAAAGCCAACGGTCAGGGCTATTGAGGGCTGTAATCAAACAATATATGGGGGGGGGCACAGGTTCTCCACCACTGCATTGGAGCATAGGAGGAGCTAATGGACCCGGAGGGACCTAGATCTAAGGAAATGCCGTTTATAGTGGACAGAACAACTAGACTGGCTACTGTTGCTGTACTGTTGCTATCGGTGGTCCTAGGATACACTTGGCCTCATGGCCACCAAATTCCACATGGTTTCCAGTATGCTGCTGCTGGCCAGGGAGTGCCCAGCCTCCTTGGTCAAAGTAGTAGGCTGCCCCTGCCTGAAACTTGTTCTTCTTGAAGGCCTATGCCATTTATCTTCAACATCTGAACGAGGAAGAAGTTGAGGGGCAATCTATATAACGGGGCAGCAACCCTTTTTTAGACCAAGGGCTGCAATCCTTTTGGGGCTACATGCCAGTGTTGGGTGGGGCCAGAGGCAGAAGTGGGCAGAGCAACAACAAATGTGAATTTTACTTTTGTGCAGGTGGCTAGTTTCCAGGTGGCAAGCGACAAGTATTATCAATTTCAATCAAGCACACGCTGCAGCCCAGCAAAAACATTCAGGGCAGTATTTCCCACAGCCAAAAACCATCACTTTATTAATGCAGCAAAATGAGTACTCCCAAGGCATGTGCAAATGGATTTGCATTGTCTGAGAAAATAGTCTTCTCTGATGAGGGAGCGCACCTCATCATCTGTTTGGTATCTTCTGAGCTCCGAGTGTTGGCAACGCTGATGAACGAACAGTAGACAACAACCCAGGCTCACCACTTTAGCTTCAGCATCAAGTCACACATACTGAAAATCATTCCCAGTAGATTCATGTAGTCTGGTGTGGGGTCTTCCAGGGTAGGGTTGTTCTCTGTGGATACAGGCTTGTATCTGAGAATGTGGTTTGGCCGCTGCGGGTTCATTACATTGTTACCGGCCATTGTGCACTGCCTATGGCTACTCCGAGCAGCCCCCACTGCAACACCAGCTTCCGCTTCTCTCAATACTCAGAGCACTATTAAAAGAAATTATTTCATGAGCAGAACTACTTCCGCTTGCACAATGGGACTCCCCCCCACCATGTGAGGTGCGCACCTCCTCAGATTTGCTCTGGAGTGTTGGGGCAACCCCTAGATCAGATTTGGGGGACAGGGTGGAGGGAGAAGAGGGGGAGATTGTTGCACAAGGAGAATTCCGTGTGCTGATGGAATGTTCACCTGAGCACCATATTGAATTCCACCATAGCGCTATATTGAATTCCATCCTTGAGGCAGGTCCAGTAGCGGGTGTAGCTGAGGAAGGGTGTGTGGCTTGAGAAGAGACCTGGAGGACCACAGTTGCCCCCTAGACCTACTGTTCTGCATCCCTGCTATATAGAACCAACTCTACAAATTGTGGCAAGAACACGTTGACCTCCTTCCATCCCTGCTTTGCTCATGGGCTGATGTACCTGCTAATGGCTCTTGTGTTCCTTCCAGTGTCGGATAAGACCCTCTGCCTTCAAGGTGGTGTCTGGGAAGAGCTTGTTGTCCATGCCGGGGCTGTCATCAGCCAAAGGCCAGAAGCTGTCCAAGAGCAACGGGAGCCTGCACACACTGCTGACCCAGAGCAGCACCAGCAGCTCCTCGCAACGCGGCCCTCTCCGCAGCCACCTGCTGCACACCATCAGCCTGGACGAGAGCACCAACTCTATCCAAAGCTTCCCCACCTACACTCCCCGTTTCAAACCTGCTCCAACCCAGCTCAGTGCTTCCGTAGGCCACATCAACCACATTGGCGGTTCCTTAGACAGGGCTTCTCGGGGGCCACGGGATCCTTTGGCTGTAGACAAAGCACCTCTGTCTTGCAAGAGCCTCAGCCGCCTGCAGAGCTCTGGGGAACCACCCCCTCCGTATGAACCCACTTACTCCTTGGAAGATGTGGTGAAGCAGCTCGAGGACCGGCTGACAGAGAAGGGCATGGAGCTCCGCCAGCTTAAGAGAAATCTGAGTGAGAACGATGATCCCTTCACACAGGTGGGTGGATTTTCACCACAGGATGGGCTTATTTGGTCCTGTGGAAACGACAATCTGCTCTCCCTTTCCTCATTTTGCCTTCTCTTTTTTGGATCTTGCATCATCTTCCATTCCTAAAGCATCCGATCCTTAATTTGCATCCCACATACATCACTGTCAGCCATGTCACCCTTCTCTAGGCTTGCTAGTAGCCACTTTCCTGGATGCCTGTGGTGAATAAGAATGGCCTCAAGGCAATGGAGACGCTTTTCTATGGAGTAAGAAAGCTGGTTGCTCCTACACTGCTTTCAGGCTTTCAAAGTGCCGTACAGATTACTAACATGGGTATGTTGGGGCAGGTGGACTGGTAACAGTACTTCATTGCAAGGCTGCTTATTTGCAAGACTCTCGGTGTCTGATTTCCACTCCTATCCACAGATCCCTGGTCTGATTTTATTTATTTTACTATATGTATATGATCATTGAAAAACATCTTATCTTACATTGGGTTCCAGCACCAGTGTCAAGGGAGCTGGACTCAGTGAAAGACAATGGCCAAATTGTGTTACAGGCAGGGTTTAAAAATAATTGTGCAATTATGTTCATAAAAGTGACTTGCCCAATTGTCCCTTTGTGAATAATTTGTGTGGTCTAAAATATTAAACAACTACTTTTGGGGGCAAACTTTTCTGCTTGATTTCCTTGAAGCAATTCTTAGCCTCTCTAGGCTGTCAGGTAAATGGTGCTTCATAGCCCCTTTTTGTTTTACTTGGTTTTGTTTTGAAAGTCTTCTTTTTTGTTGATGATGTGGAGAGCACAATAGAATGAAAAAGTGAACTGCTCAGATAATATCGCAGGGTTTTGCTGCCCATCCATATATTCTGTTTGGAACATGCAGTCTTACTATGCTCTGGGGACAGAATGACTTGGCAGTTCTGCTGTCACTGGACTGTGTTTTGCTCTACCATCCTTAAAGTGCCAAGGAGTTACACATCATGAATATTGGAAAGCTGCTCCTTTTCTGAATCATAACATATGTTAATTAAGTTTATACAGTCATACATATTCAGGTTGATTATAAATAAGCTGACTTATTCTGAAGCAGGCTAGTACTAGCCCTTCTTACTAGTCCTGTCTATAAACAGACTGGCAGCAGAAACTCAGGATGTAGACTCTCCCCAGTTCTGCTATCTGGATCCTTTCAGAAGTAACCAATGTGGTCTCTCTAGATGCTTCCATACTACAACTCCCATCATCCATGTCCATTGGCCATGCTGGCTGGGGTTGATGGGGACTTGGAATTCAACAACCTCTGCAGGGTACTGTGTTGGGTACACCTTTTACCTTGTGATGCTATGGACTTAAACTGAGACATTTAAAGAATGAGTCCTAGAGTAGAATAGATTTGCCTTCCATAGGAAGCCTGAGCTTTCTGGATTGGGATATCTTTTGTACTGAGAAAAGTCATTGATTTGCCAACTGAATCTGGCCAGTCATCTGAAGGGCTGACGTAAGACCCCTCCATGATCTTCTCTCATTTTGACAGATGTTTGAGGACAAACAGCGCTTGTGGATGGATGAGCTGGATGAACTGAAGCAGATGTATGTAGCCAAGCTGCAGCAAGTGATGCAACAGGCCCAACGCAGCCAGCGGGCACTTCAGCTGCAGCTCTACAAAGCTCAGCAGGAAAAGAAACGGCTGCAGGAAGAGCTGGACCTTCAGCAGAGGCAGTGCGAGGAGCTGAGGCTGCAGCAGCAACAGGCAGAGCGCCTGAGCCCCAAGTTGGAGGAGACCCAGTGGGAGGTGAGTGGGGAAAAGCCATAGAAAGCACAGTGCCAATGTCCACTGTGATCCTGGCTCTTCTTTGCTTCTCAGCATGCTCATGGTTCTACTGGGGTCCATGCATCCCCATCTGGGAGTGGAGGCTGCCAGTTCTATTGAACTCTGGTGTTTTTGCAAAGCAGATCAGTTCTTACTAGACAGCTGGCAAAGGTTTTGTGGCTGCTGCTTCCCTCTTGCCAAGCTGTAGAACTAAGTTTTCAGATGCAAAGCCTTATGTTCACAATCCTATCTGAGCAACTCCCAACATCTCCCTTTCTCTCTGGTCTTTGTTGTTGCTTGGTTGACTTTGCTGTGGGCATGACATTGTCCTTTGGAAATATTCCAACCCTTTCCCTCTGCTGTGCTGCAGCACCCAGGATCCAACAGCTCACTGCTTCTCTTTGTCTAGTCTTATCCCCTGTTCTCACCCTAATGTACTGTTTTGACAGGTCTGTCAGAAGACTGCAGAGATTTCATTGCTCAAGCAGCAGTTCCGAGATGCCCAGGAGGAGATAGCCCAGAAACTGGGTGAAATCTTCAGCTTGAAAACACAGCTGCGGGAGGTCCGAACAGAGCTGCAAGCCAAGGACTCGCAACTGGCACAGCTGGGGGACTCTTTCCAAACCTTGCCAGAGCGCAGCTCCCCTGTTCCTCCACGGGACTCTCCCATGCAAGCATGCCAGGACTTTTTGGGTTGTGAAACAGATGACTCTAAAAGTCAGGGGATGCAGGGGGAGAGTGCAGAGGGCGCTGAGTGGCTATGGGGAGAATTGCTGCGCGAGAGGCGCCAGGCCCAGCTACAAGCTGCAAACTTTGAGCAGGAGCGGAAAACTTGGCAAAAGGAGAAGGAAAAAGTCCTGCGCTATCAGCGGGAGATTCAGGCCAGCTATATGGAGATGTACTACCGGAACCAGACACTGGAGAGGCAGCTAAGTGAGTTCCGGCAGTTCCAAGCTGAGCCCAGAAGTATCAGCTCAGAGCCACCTTGGATTGAAAGAGTTGAGTCCTCAAAGATCTGAACACTATGCCTGGGGCTCTGTGCTGGAATTACAAAGGGGAAAGGTACCACACAGCAGCATGGACCTTAGGGTTTTCGTAGAAGGAGTGGTTAAACTAAAGGGCTGGTTAACCTCGTCCATAGAGGATTTTGAAGACTGCTGCTGTCCATGGAATGAAATCCCAGCATTGCACCTGGCATTTTCTGTCTGTCCAGGTAGGCCTTTGCCTCCCTGTCACTGCTGTCTTGGAGGGCAGAATGCTTTCCTGTTGTGTCCTGCTTTGTGCCCACACTGGCACTGTCTGTCAGGATGGAAGGCTTGTTATTGTGGAATGTGAACGGCCACGATTGGGAGCTATGGCCCTTCTTGAAAAGGTCTGAAGAAGAATGTGCAAAAGATGGTGCCACCAAGTAATGAGCCCTTTGTGGAGCTTTGGCTGTGTCTCTTCACAACTTGAGACTTGGCCTGTTGCGCTGAGAAGCAGCGGCGGAGCAAGCTTACAACACAAGGCCCACACAACTGGAGCTTATAAGACAGGCACAGCATGAGGGCCAGCGGCAGAGCAAACTGACCGCGCACCTGGGGCAGCACATGTGCCCTGCGCCTGCGGGGCAGGGCCAGCCAGGGCAGGACGCTCTGTAGGGCCTCTGAGGAGTCTGCCTGCCTCCTCCCACTCAGCTGCCCTACAGCTGAAGGGGAGGCGGTGGGCAGACCGTTTGGGGTAGCGTGGAGCCTACGGGTGCCCAAGCCACTGTATCACTCCCAGGAGAGAGAGACGCGGGCTGGGGCGCACTGCTGCTGGCCCTGTGGTGAGTGCTGCCTGGCATTTTGTCTCTCCCCTCAGTGGTGACACCAGGGGCCGCCCAAATGACAAAATGGTGACAAAATGTGGGGCGGCACTCGGGCCTGCAGTGTGCCCGAGCCACACGTCTCTCCTGGGAGTGACAAAGTGGCTTGGGCGCCCATAGGCTCCAGGTTACCCCAAACGGTCTGCCCGCCGCCTCCCCCTCAGCTGTAGGGCGGCTGAGTGGAAGGAGGCAGGCAGACTCCTTGGAGGCCCCGCGGAGTGTCCTGCTCTGGCTGGTGCCGCCCCTGGGCACAGGGACGTGCGCCGCCCCAGGCACCTGATTGACTTGCTCCGCTACTGGTCCTCATGCTGTGCCTGTCTTAGAAGCTCCAGTTGTGTGTGCCTTGTATTGTAAGTGACAAGATGTTCAGCTTCAGAATGTGTAAGTCTGGTCCAAAAGCTCACTGAAAGCCAAACCAATTGGGCTTATCCATCCAGAGGGCCAGAGGACAGGCAGGGTCATCTGGGCTTGGGCCAGTTTCTCCATAGGCAATGGGGAGAATGGGGGTGGGACTGTTCTGTCCCTCTGTTCTGTTACTGCTTGGTGCCCCAGTTTTTGGATTTGAAGGTTCTGGGCCAGAGTGATGAGTCCTGAAATGGAAGTTCTACCTGGCAATTCCTGGAATAAAAATCTGCCTGACACCTTTGGCTCCATGTTTGTTGCTTTCTCTTTCCACTGTAGTATCCCCTAACATTTCTGCTATTGTTGACCATGGTATTTATACTGTAACGAACATTCAATACACATGCTTATGTTGCTCTACAACCAGTTCTTGCAATCTTACCTAGGCCAGATAGAGCAGCAAGAAGAAATGGGGCTATGCATAAGACAAGAATGGAGATGACTCTCTTGCCTGTTTCTTCAGTAGGGAGGTGGGTGGGTAGGGGGTGGTGATAAAAGGGAATCTTCTTGAAGCATTTTTCTGAATTCAAGGGTGGAAAGTCAGTATAATCCTTTATCTGGACTGCAATCTGAGATGATGGAGAAAGGACCGATTGTGGTTTCTAGCATCCTGCAGCTTCTCTTCCTGCTTTAGAACAGCGTTTGCTCACCCAACTGGTAAGAAAAGTGTGAGGTGAGCACAGAGAGTTTGGCATGCCCAAGCCATTTGAATTCAGGAAATGTACAGCGTAACTAGTAAGAGCAGAAAACAAAATAATTATCTGCTGGCTGGTAAGAGGATTTGACAGATCTGATGACCAAATATTGTGCTGGGTGTGGGATATCCAGTCTTATATAACACAGCTTCCTTCCCTGCAAAAAATTCTCTAAATTATACTGCAACTGAAGCAGCTAAGCAATTTAATTTATTAGCCTGAAAAACTGGCTGAGCTTCACTGTGGCCCCACCACCTCTAGAAATCTAATGTATTTATTGGATACCTATGATGTGTACTTGGCTCATGTCCAAGCCACAAGCCAAAGGCCTGGGTTAGTGAATGGTGGAATGGAAATTAATGAAGAAATTGCAAAATAGATTGCATAAGAACACCAGGCTGCATAAAAATACTAGGCCTGGTTGGGAACATGCTTCCTACAATTCCAGTTAAATTGGACTTCCCTGGTCCCAGGAAACTGCAAAGGCTTGGCTTGTTTTTCTTGTCGGACAGCCGGCTGTTGAAATCCCTTGTTTGTTTCACTGTGCCCACACCAGTCCAGTGCTCTGTTGGCGCCTCATCCAAAATCCCCAAAGCAGGTTTCCACCCATCAATTAGAGCTGTGCAGAGTTGAGGAGCAACCCAGGAGAGGGCGGCACCAAAACTTGGCAGCAAAGCCAGAAACCAAGCTGCTAGCTCAGATGCCACAGGGAAGAGTTGAGGCGTCCCAGGGAGCAGTAGTGCTTGCCTTCTAGAGCTGCTGGACAAACCAGTTTCCTGAATTCCACAGGACTGATTCATTCCCTGGAAGGCGATGGGGCCCGGGCAGGTGCCACTGATACAAAGAAGTCTGCAGTGCTACAGCTCAAATCCAAAAACACTTGGAAAGCTCAGACGTCCTGGCCCCTCCAGCCATCCTGCATTTGGCATGTGTTTCCTCCAAAGGTCTATGACAGCAGTGTTTCCTTCTTGGCCCCCAGCCCAGAAACCTGGTCTCTACAGCTTTTCCTACGGTGGAGACAAGTGTGTCACTCCACTTTACATTTCTTCCCATTACAGCTGGACATAAGACAGCCTCACAAGCATGTACTGTTCACTTTAGTGTTTTTCACTGGTGGGATCGTTCCTTAGTGTCAGTTTTGCTATTTCATTTCCCAAACCTGTAGGTGAACATTGCTCAACAATCCTTTCCCACTTTTGTGGTTTATATCCAGCAAAGATGTGGACACTACATTTTTGTCACAAGCCAAGGTCAGAGGTTTTCTGTAGACTAGCTCCTGTTTTTCAGCTGCTGTAGCTTCTGTCCATAAAGTGGACTGCCTGTGGATTTGCCTTTGTCAACGTTGAGGCACCCAAACAGGTACTGATGCTCCACTGCAAGTCTGCTGTACTAGCATTGGGGACACATAGCACAATTCATCTGCATAAGCAATGGCCAAATTGCTGTGCATGAGCTGGGTGTTTAGCTGTTTTATCAAATTTTAATCAAGGTGTGATTGAAAAAGAAATGCACACATAAGGAAAATAAAATGTCTGGCATATGTTGCTCATTGTTTTCAATGTAATGCCGCAGCTGAAAACCTTAGAAGAGCAATGAGATACCATGTGCATTTCATAAAAGTTGAATGGACTGCAGTCTAGTGTTTTCCAAAAGGCAAAGGACCACTGCTGATTTGCCTCTAGAAGAATAAATACTGTACATAGGAAATGAGTCATTAAGACTTCATGTTGTTGTTGTTTAGTCGTGTCCGACTCTTCGTGACCCCATGGACCAGAAGGCCCCATGGGCCTTCATACCCACCAATAAATGAATGTACCATTGGTAATGGAAAGCAGGGATACTTTTTATTTTCCCTTCTTGCCCCAATGGAAGTAAGTCCTGTTTAATTCAGTGGGACTTACTACTGAGTAGATGTTTATAGGGTTGCACAGTACTGTAAAGGTAAAAACCAAGACATTGAATTTAAGTTTGAGATGTAACTGGATGCCACCAGAGCTCTCCCAGAATTGGGCTTATATGGCTCCAGATAAACCAACAGGCTACCTGCATTTTGTATCGGGTGAAGTTTCAATGGCTGCCCCATGCAGAATGCACTACAGCAATCAAGATGAATATTTACGTAGACATGCTCCTTGAGCACATATTAAAGGTTGGTACCATCTCTGACACCTTGAGCTGAAGAATTAACAGAAATGCTTCAGAAAAGCCATAGTAAAACATGCCAGGGCTGTGTCACCAGTTGGAGCACTAAACCTGTTAGGATTGGTCGTTCTTAATAGGTACCTTTTTAGATAATGAGATATTTTTCACAAACCGACAAGCCTCTGCCTGATCTGTCACTGCAGAAACACTTCGTTAGGCTTTCAAACTAAAAGTGGGTCCTGATTAGCTCTAAAAATGGTTCATTCCAGTCCTGCACTGCACGTCATCCGAGCCAAGAATGGTCCGTTCCACCCAGCTGTTGCCCGTTGATGGTTCATTCCAGGCACACCCTATCCGAAAATGAGGATGGTTTGATCCATCATTAGAGAACTTTAGCAGTTATGCCTATATAGGACCGCACCAGGGAAGGAGGCGGCTTGATACGCAATTATTCTTCTGTTGTTCCGGTCCGGAGAAGATTGACGTCTCATTCCGCGACTCTCAGGTTAGCTGTTCTTTTTTCCCCTTCCCCACCCCGGCTGTCCCTGGAAATGGTTCCGTCCAGTGCTCACACCGACCAGTAAAGGAATGTGCCACTGTAATATAAGGGGTGTGCGTGTGTTCTCCACCTCCACAGTACGGTGGTCTAGTCTCGCCCAGAGTGTGTCTGAGACGAGTTAAAGCCTATGGTGTCCCTCGCCTTCCCAGTTTGAACGCTCCGGGCCGTGAAATACACCCTCCCAGCCCATAAGGGGCTGCCACAGTACCTTTCTAGGCCAGTACCAAGCGGTTAGGGAGGCCGGGGTGGGTGGGGGGTTTTCCTTTCCGTTCCCTCTCTTCCTCCCTGACACCTTCCCCTTTGGCTCGGGTCTTTATGGCCGCGCCGGGCCAGTGACTGATTGGGCGCTCTTGTCCCGCCTCCTCCAGGGCGCGCGCGGCAGAGGCAAGGCCGGGGCGATGGAGCGGTGCGCCTGCGTGGAGAGGGAGCTGGACAAAGTGCTGCAGAAGTTCCTGTGCTACGGCCAGCACTGCGAGCGAGGTCTGGAGGAGCTGCTGCGCTACGTCAGCCAACTGAGGGAGGAGCTGGGCGCTGCAGGTACGCGCGGGGGCCAGTCTGCTCCTGCCTCTGAGGGAGCGAGGAAGGAAGGGCGGGAGGGTCGAGGGCGGCGTCGGGAGCGGCTGCAGCTGCAGCTGGCGGCTTCTCGAGTGCACTCCTCATTAGTTCGAAAATATAAGCCCCGCCGAGCACAGAATGATCCACCCACATTATTTATTACATTTATATCCCGTTCTTCCAAGAGAGGGTGGCCTTTTTTGTCCTTCACAACGACAACCCTGTGAGGTAGAGCTTAGGCTGAAGGGGAGTGGCTGGCCCAAGATTGCCCATTTTGGGTTTAAGAGCGGCTAGCTTCATGTGGACACTATGGGGGTAAAAACAACAACCCTGTCGTGTAAGGTAGACTAACTTGATATGGTGGCAGGGCTGCTCCTTTTCTTTTTAGATGCAT